TACACGCGCGGTCTAACAATCCCACTCTGCAGCACTACAGTAAGCTTCATAGTTGAAGCTCATCCTCAAGATTGCATTTCCAGGATAAGCAGCCAATCACTATTTTTTCGTACGGAATTGACTAGCACGAATAACCCCGCATTCAAATCTTGGCAGAAGCACTATTTTTTCGGTATATTTTGTAAGATTTTTTTTTGGCTTTTCCCGTGTTTCATAGGTGTATCCTCACCTTGAGAAAACGAACAATTTCTCGTGACGATCAACAGAAGGTGCCTGCGAAAGTGAATATCTGTCATTGACAAATCTTCTGGTTCCATTTTAGAAACGCCTCGTGGCGGTCTTTGCAAAAAAGGGTAAGATTTACGCATTGATGAGCTGAGCTCAGTAGAAAACTTACATAGCAGACCTCCTTGCTTATTCCATGGGGATTTGGAGTGTTTCCATGTCTCCAGATATTCTACAAGCTCTGAGTACTCACGTGCGTTATCAACGATTGGAGTAGAGTTTTGACCGAAATTCCAAAGAGTACCTCGCCTTTAATCTGGATTCGTTCATGACCGAATACTTCTGTGTTAAAATATTAAGTCCGGAGAGCGGTGAGAAGAAGCAGAGATTGTCAAAAAGGCAGTGAAGATAGTCTCGAGCTTCGACCTGAGCAGTACAAAAAGCAGAACCCAAATTCTCCAAGTTGAATTCAGACAGAGAGGGGATAGGTGCCTTCATCAGGATGGCACTATACAGGTTTAAAGCCACGGATCAGGATAAGGCACTCATAGGAAAAGTTCCCATCACTAATATGGGCTGAGCTGCATTCAGAGGGTGACGCCACGCTCCTGAATCGAGATGGCGCGGCGACAAGGCCTCTGGCCTACTACTTACAGCGATGCTTCGTTGCATCAGCTGGTCCCGCCCACCGCGGGATGTGGTGCGTGGCTGGCATAACGTGTGAAATCAGCTAGGTTGATTGCCGTATCAACCGATGGAACGGCTGGCATATCCGGAAAACTCGTTTGGACGTGCCTCTCTCCCAAGCCAGCCTCCTTCACTGCTAGTGGGAAGGGGGTTTCGTTTTCGGCCTTGTCGACGGTTTCTTTTCGTTTTTTCTCCACTGTCGTTCCATTTCGCATCTCCATACTCAGTTTCAGTCGCCATAATACTCCATATTGGGCCCGAACGAGGGTTTTGGAGTACCTTCCGAAGGCAGGTCGTTTAATTTAGCGCTCGTAATTTCAGCGGAGGAAGAGTGAAAGCTTGGGTTGGTTTTTGTAATGGTACTGTGGTGAAATTTCCTTGGTGAATAGCAAACGAAGTCCACGGATTACAAGAAAGTCCAGCAGCAACATTAATAACCTTCCTATGCCTCCTATCGTCTAAACTACGTCTTCTAACAGAAAAATCTGCCATTCACGAGTGTCCCTCGGCAAATAGTTGGCCATCCAACATTCCCAAAACATAGGCGCTTAGCCGTGGCCAGCCTGCAGACCGATAAAGATCATCTACAGGGGGGGGGGGCAAAAAAAAAGTCACTTTGCCTATGGCGCACATCATCAAACTTTTCGTCGCACAGGATGCCGTTGTTAATGAATGTTTTACGGCAGAATATTCCTTAGGTGTCCCCCCATAAGCAGAAGCAGGCCCTCCTTCACTGCCCTCACCGTCTTCAGAATATGACGTCATCTGCCGTCACCGTCGAGCTCAACGAGGCTTACCGTAATCGCTCCGGCCTGAAGCTGCAACCTAATTTCTTCAATCGGTTAAGCGGTGAATAGCTTCCCAGAGACACTAGCTGTGACTGTGCAAGACCGCTTTTGACCAGCGTTTCAGGGACGTCGTAATGGTCTATGGTACCTCGACGACCTCGTTGAGCTCGTACCGTGAACCATGTTTCCGTGGGAAAATCTTCTGATGTCGTCAGTGTAGAAGGCTGTCATGTAACCTTTTGATAGACTTGAATGTGCTCTTTAATATGCAATTGGGCTCATTTGATTTGGTTTCGCAGTTCGAGATTAATTGCGTTTTGAATGTGGAGAGAAGTGACTCTTTTTTTGGCCCCCCTGTAGACATCATACCCAAGTAGGAGCATGCTAACAACCGTTAGATGTTGCGAAATACAAAGCTCAAAAAAAAAGGTTTGGAAGGAAATCTATGAAGCTTCCGAAGGTACTCTTGGAAAACCACGGAGGTCGTTTGATGTTGCGATTGAACTAAGAAAAAACATAGATTATCGATTCTCTACCGGGTCTCGAACACATTGTCTACTTTCTGTACTAGCTCATGATCAAGTCACGGTGCAAAAAATAGATAAAAAAGCTATCATGAAAAAGTTCAGTAAAACGATGCCTCTACCAAAATTCGGATACGGTGGTAAACGGTGCTTACTCGTGCTGAGGGATTCGCTGTTAATGCTAGGAAAAATTCCAAAAGGCTGCCCATTCTGGAAATGCAAAATTGATAGTGAGCATATGATTATGGAACGAATGTATTTCGTACTGACGAAATATTCACTTCAGAAATGGAAGCGTAGAAACGGCACTTCGCCTAATGTGCTTCTACAAATTCAAACTCGGTCGAAGTGCAGCAGAAATGGCGCTCCTAACATAAATGATATGATGGGGTGCTTAATCAATTACTGGAGAAAAATACTAATGGTCGCAAAAGATCCCCGCTGCGAATTCGATCTTAAAGGTAGATGGCAGGCGTAATTCTGAGCCTATCGATAGGTCACCATTGAAAAAGTTGGCAAAAAACGTCCTACTATGCTAGAACCAGCGGAAGAACTGGGTGTAGGCATGGTAATTTATTGTTGTGTATGTTGTTATATTAGGTTGGAAAGAAAGTCCTGCAACACTTTTTCAAATTTTTGATTTTAATTTTATCTTTTTTGGTTACAACTCCTGACCGGTCATATATCTACCATGAGTGTCCACCACTTGTCTTCAACGCAGAAAATTTCTTGATGCTCCTTTTCCAAAACCCAGCGGAAAGCGAGTCGAGAAATGGAGGCGACCTCATTTTTGAGTTGAAGTATGGATCTACTAGTAGTCGAGGTTTTTTGAATCTTTCTTGGATAACTACTGATTGCAGCACTTATATCCACCTCGTGGATTAAAGCCTTGAGAATGCTCTACCATTTGTTAGTCATAAATGTTACCTATGAATTTTTCAGAAAAAAAGAAAATTTTAGAAAGTGTTGCAGAACTTTCTTTCCAACCTAATAGTAGAGTCATTGTAATTGTGCCATATTTTTCATTGTCATGTTGTTTAGGAGTCTTTAATATGAACTAGGAAGTGAAAGAAGTTGGATAAATGGCTCCCTACGATTTGAGCAAGCAGCAGTGAAATCATCGGTATTAACTGTCCTCGACATCTCCTTTGCGCAACACAAAAGGCCCTATTCTTGATACCATCGTAAAATGCGACTACAATTGGCTCCTGTATGAATTTTGCGACAACCTGTTCGGTGATTGGGCAGCAACGGAGCCACTCACTACTTTTTCAAATCAGGCATGCATCGAAAGTAACTGTGTGACCGTCTGCTGCAAATTTAATTCACCTTAACATTCAAAAAACCAACAGAAAGGAATACGGTAAAAATATTGAATTCAGCACTTAGATCGAATACAGCAGACTTAGGTCGGCAAAGACCCATTCTCACAATGCGCTTCCACACGAGGCACAACTGGTGCTACAAAAGCCTATAAAATGGGACACGAAACCGCGCTCATCCATTCGCCGAAAATATTTCACACTAACCACCTCTTCTTCAAGCACTTCGACGCACTTCTACATTTCTTGAACGAGAAAACTTTGGTAATCAAACCCTGGAGGAAAGGGTTTTCGTTCAAAACCTCAAAATTTTACGCAACAGGAATGAGGCACTTATTCTTCGGTAGCGAAGGCGTGTGGATCCTGTTGTGATTATGTTTTGTTTTTGATTTACTGAGATACGTCGTTTCAAGAATAAAAGGAAAACTGATAGTGATTTCCGAACCAACTAATACTTAGTCGTTAAAGATGAACATTGCAAACTCAAAGCGCTGCATGAATTACTTTTCTGCCGGGAAAGACACAAGACCTAAAGCTTGTCGTACGAGAGAAAGAGAAATGAGAAATGTATCGAATATACCACGTGAGGAAAAGTCAAAGGGTGCTCGAAAACTGGGATGGCTAAAGGATGGCTACGGAGAGTTACAAATATTTTCCCAAAGTTTTCAACTTCAGTTTCCTTCAAATTATGGAAGGATTCATTGGGTTAGAGTTCCTCTTTTGAAACCTATGCTGTGATCGCGATACGATTTCAGGATAAGGTTTTCTTGATATGGTTCGCCCTTAACAAGGATCCCTTCTCTTGTATTTTGAGATGAGGAGGGGACGTGCACTTCCTCTCTACGCTGTAATTCACACAAGCGCGATCTCCTCTGTTCGGCTAGCAATGGGGCGTGTCACACAAGAGGCGAAGGGACCAAAGCTGGCGACTATCCAACGCCTTATAAGGTCTTTTCAACGACGCTTTTTGCTCTAGTAACACTCTCTACTTCTCAAGTAGGGGACATGCATCTTTTCACTAAATTAGTAGCAATATGAAGCTCATATGGTAAATCGCAGTAAGAGAATTTTTCTTTAATGAATCCCATATGATTCGAAAATAACGTTATGCTTCCCTCAGAATTAAGCTTGAAAGGAAATCTCGGAAAACCGAATTAAAAATTTCAAAAAAAAAATACTTACGCTATATTACACGTAGTAGTTTGGTGAAACAAAAAGATCTCTCAGCGCGCATAGTTGATCCTCATTGAACTGAGCCTCATGCTCACGCCATGAATCCTGATGTGTTCGCTTGAATTCTGACAGCGTTCGCTTAACAGTATCCTGAAAAGACTTATTGTAACTGAGAGAACTATTTATTCCTAAAAAGAAAAATCGAGTGATCAAGAAAAGATTTTCTCAGCAGAAACTCACTTTAATGGGCTGTTTCTCTGACGCAAATCGACACAATCGCATCAGGACATCAGGAAATACGATGGCACCGTGTACGGAGCAGCGAGTACAATAGCTGACAGCCCAAGAACGCCACCGTGACGGATAATGGGATCCTTCGAGTTCGCACGATCGCTGAATGCGGCCTGAAAAATGGATTTCGGAAGAAATTTACTTCGCATTGCAAGAATTATTTCTATGATTTGATCAAAAAAGAGTTATTCAGTTGGATCAACTTATTAACACGAATGATAGAAGCAGTGAGCTAATAGTACACTAGGAGCAGCGGATCAAAAAGGAAAGACTGAGTGTAAGGGACAAAGGGGCAACATTAGAGGGCAAAGCGATGAGCACATATGGATGGAAGACAAGAGCTGGTAGAGAAAAGTAGTCGCTGGGACAAGAAGAATTTCGGAGTGGTAGAACTACTTAGTAGAAAGTATTGAATCGAAAAGAACGCTAAAGAGAGTGTGTTTGTTTATGGAGGGTCCGGTGTGTGATGGGGCTACTTTCTGTGAGGAAAGTGCTGATATACACGGAAATAGCTATCTTGTGGATGCGAGTATATGGCGTAACTTAGCACGCCAGTAGCCACAAATTGAAAATCACCAACATTTCCGGGTTACTGCGCAGAAATGAGCTTGTTCAGCCGACAGGGGTATTCGCAGGCGGTTGAGGATTCTTAATGGGACATTCGCATTAGGCTAGCACATCAGAAGTTGCTCCTAAAAACTTTGTTTTAGACTGAAGCAGAAAAAATGAAAAGCAAGTTCAACGCAGCGCACTTCAGCGCAAAATGACCACTAGTCTTCTGTGACAAGTGCAATAGTACTGATTTGGAGGAATATGCACTTTCATTCCAACCACCGCAAGGGTAACTTTAGGATTTCCCCAACACGGTGATCGGGAGGATCTGTTAAAACAGCAACTTGTATCAGAGATTTCTTTTTACCTGACGGGCATCCTACTTAATGACAACAAATAAACAATTTCACATCTGGTGCGTATGCTATGCTCTCCCAACAGGGGAGAGGCGCCCTCTACTGGGAGAGCTCCCTGCTGCATCTGCCCCGCAAGCGGCAATGTTCGCGGAGCTCCCCTTGTGATGCAGACATATAGAGTCTGAGGTTTTGAGTGGTCACTAGAATAGCCAAATGAAGAGATGGATCACCTGACGGAACACTTGCATTATGCATGGCAAATGAGCAGCTGGGATGTAAGTCGCCTGCAGTAGCTTGGACAGCAAAGAGAAACACTGCTTGTACAATTCTTCATCACTGGAACATGGAATGATAAATAAAGTATATCAATGTATAAATAAGATTATAATAAATATTTTACACGAAGCAACACATCACTAAACGAGTGCCAAGAAAAAAGTTTGACCTGAACTGTCAACAACTCCACAGTCGGAAATTACTGATAGTTAGAAACCTTTCCATATCGCCTGCGCATAAAAAACACGAATCGGATGTTCAAAAAAGCAGTAGTGAATAATAGCAAAAAAACCGTGTGAAGTAGATACTCACTGCATCTAGTACTACTACATTATAGCACATTTTTAATGCCATTCAGCATCAGTTTCATAACACAGATTGATATCTGTATGAACCTACGCGAATCGTTACTGTAGTGTAAAAATATCGGGCAAAGACGGGTTAAGATTGGACGGAGAGGCACACGAGTAAAGTGACTGGTCCCGGCAACATGTCAAGTGAGGTAGTGCTCGTTTGAGGCCAGACAGGAGATGTCGTTTTAACTTCAGGATCTCCAGTTCCATTCTTCAAAAAATTTTTTCATGTGCACATAAAATGATTTCGTTGAAAAATAAACGCTAACCAGCTCGGTGGTTTCTGAGCAACTGTTCCCATTGTTAATCCGCGTTTCCTCCCAGCACGCGCCCATCTAGAAATGAAAACCAGGTCGTGCATCTTTCATCAATTATTGGAGGTCCATTGAAATGTTGCAGTCTCTCGAGTGCACCACTTACGAGGCCCCTTTAAAGTCTTAAACTTCATGTGGATTATACAATCGATGCGTCTGCTACGGTAGGAGCACGCAGCGAGTCAGGTATACTAGGACTATAGTAGATTGTTGGCAAATCGAACCAAGAAGCTGTCACAAGTGATCTGTAATGATAAACTTTTATCGGAGAACGTCTGGCATCCTTCATGGAATGGGTCATACGTGCACAGTGTGGTACAAATGTTATTCTGTACCTATCGAGAAAAAATGCGGACTAAGGAATTGGTATATATGCTCTCCCTTCACCCCTGAGAAGTGTGTATGGTAGGCTTGCGATGCTGGGACTTATTTCCGAAACCAGTAACGCCATTTGCTGTCGCTGGCGGCAAAGCTGGGCGCAGGCCAAATTGGTGCCTGCTTTTTGCAAGGGTTTCAGGGCGTTGAAGCCATAGCGGAGACGGCCCTTGCGGAAGGGAGTGCGCTTCAAAATCTCGTGCTTCCTTTCTGGCCGCGGAACGCACGACATTCAATGCTTTCCCGCGAGTACAGTCAGAACGGCGTTATGAGGTAAGGTGTGGTCATCGGAAGTGACATGGCGCGCCGCACTTGATAGAAGTCGCGCGGATAAGCTGTTTTCACATACTTCGCTGGAAATCAGCAAAACTTCCTGGAAGCAGCTCACCCACGCGACTTCTTTCAAGTGCGGCATCCGCCACATCACTTAAGCTGACACACCTACTCAGACGGCGAGATATGGACTGTACCATGAGCGGTGACGGAATCGGTGAGTGTGCCTAATCCCGGACCATGCTTCTAGTAAACCACCACCCTGGTTTGCCGCTTTGTCGGTGCATATGTCGATTTGTCCGTCCGCTCACAAGATGCCCTTGGGTGTAATTGAAGATGAAGGATATGAAAAACCTAATGCTGTCATAACAAGGGATGTACCACAGGTTAAGCGGTATCAAAGCTCATGATAATGCAGTGATAGTGAAAACACCCATATGTATAACTGCCCTCTTCCCACTCTCGGTCATTTTATATGGTGCTGCAGTGGCAGCTGGAGGGCATAGGGGATGAAGCGGAAAAGGGGAGAGGGTGTGGAGACCACCCAACCGCAAGCAAACTTTAAATCTCTAACTAAGAGCTAAAAGGTCATTGTATCCTAGTTTTCTGCATACTATAAGACCCCTACTTCATGAGATTGCCTTCTTGTGCATTCGCGCCCACTTCATAAGGCGATTACCTCACCTTCTCAGAAGCGGAAGTGAAGCGTAACAAGGGAAGAGAGATCCCAGCGGCTGCGGGAGGACAAACTGGTTTGATATAAAATGCAAAGTGAGATTTCGAAAAGTAAAACAGCATACATTGCCATACGTTCTCGGAGATTCGCATATTGTTGAACAACAGCGGCTTTGGATAAAAGCGCTACCACCTTATTCCAAAGTTCGATTGTACGCCATTCGAACTGACATAGTCCTCCTTGCAACAGAAAGAGACGTCTGGAAAAATGAAAACACTTAGCATCGCTCCAAAAAAAAACTGAGTTTTAGATATGGAAATCAATAAAAAAGCAGAAAGCAGTTCGGAAGGCGATGAACTCACGATTGTGCCGCGAATGCACTTTCTGTCGGTCTGTTTACAAGCGCAAAAAGTATGTCAAGCAGTGGTTTTAACATACGCGATTCCGAACATCCACACACAGTGGCTACACATACACCCCAATTCCTCATGGCCTCTTCCTGAAATATTAGGCAAGCTGAATACCGTGTTAGTGAATGCAACTCGTCCAACTGCACAAAGAGGAACTTGTAAATCAAACAAGAAATACACCGATTAAACACTCCACCTTCATATTTTCAAATGCTCGCGTCAAAAGCGGAGCAAGCCATGTCCACAACTTTTTCTGGCGTCCCCATTTCCACAGCTTGGACCCGTTTATAATTCCAGCCACAATTTCGGATGCTAGCTTTTGGTCGCTACCCTGGAAAGTGAGCAACGTTCACCACACTTCTTGGTAAGAGTTTTCAAAAGAGACCACCTTCGGACTCATAATTAGCACTTCTAGATGCTCTTTGAAAACGCCACAGAGAATGTCGTTGAAACATCGGAAGAGCCCCTGAAAATAACCCAGTGATTCCTTCACTCTAGCCTTTGAAGACATCACTTCAAATAAAACCAATCACCAAACCTGAAAGAGGGAGAAGTTCACAGCGTTAAAAGAATCTTCTTTTGACTCCTCCACTGCGAAAAGCTCTCTTAAGCGAGCCGAAAACTCTGGATCGCGGAATGTCTCTACGATGAATCGTTCCGTCTCAGACAGATCCTCGTCGTGTCTATCAATGGCATCTTGTTCCCCTAGTGGTGCGTAACTGAAAACAAGAGTGATACTAACTTTAATTCACGACATCACCACTTCGTCGCTCAGAATTTATCTCTCCCGTTGAGTTTGATACCTACGTTATCAGTTTTTCTGGCCATGTGTAAAATCCCCAGTGTTGCTTCCCGCAGAACTGGAACTTGTTCCACTCTTCCTCTGTTTTCGGCAACAGCTGAAACACGCGAATGAAACGACTGAGAAACGGATGCTTTCACAAGTTGAAATGAATTGCTAACCTTCTCCTCATACATCATACATCGGTTATCATCCCTAATGCCATAATGAATAGGCCATCTGGCCCCTACTGATGTGTTCGGCTCCTAAAGCTAGTATATTATGACTCGTATGAAATCAGTCTCAATTACCACTTGAATATTTTGCTACTGTCAAAAGCTGGTAATTACGACTGGTGACTTACCTTATTCGGAATAACCCATTCCCTCTTGACAGCCTTTGGCTTGTTCAGCTTCAACCAGCTAGCCACCACTGCCGTTGCCATTCTGCGAGCTTTCACCGTATCGTGAACCAAAAGGCGAACCCACATTCGCAGAACTGGTTCCGGGTACGGTATATCTCTGCAACGTGTGTTGAAAAAGTTTCAATGTGAAAGCCATAATGATCTGAGCCGTTGTTTAGGCGAGAGACGGTGGACGGAAGCCGTTCACTGATGCACTTTGAATGACCGAATTCAAGTATTTCATAGGCTCCCCCATTTTCTTCACGCTTTGGGGAACAGTCGCGGCGAGCGCGGTTGAGTCCACAGTGCCCGCGAACTGTGGCCGATGGACACACTCGAGAGAATATTGCTTGTTGCAGCTGCACAATATGCTCTTGCAAGGGAAAGCCATCTGAAGAACAGGCCCCAACCTGATGGTGAAATCAAACACACCTTTCTATTGTATGGGCCGCTACCTTGGTGAGTTGGTTCATGTGGATGCGTGTCTAACTACCGGTGTGCTGTTTATACGTACGTAAAAGAAGGCAGCCAATGGAATAAAGCAACCGCTAAAGAAACTAAGGGCTCGCAGGTCTGGGACTATCAAGATTTTGTAATGGCATGATTGTGATAACACCCCAACGACTAATCAAAGCCCACCAAGCACTCTTGGTCATTCCAGATGGTGCAGCAGTAGCGACGGGAGTAGAAGGAGGAGGGTAGGAAAACCAGCAGTAAACAAAAAAGTGCACAAAGTGTGACAAGACTGCACACAAAGCACCATTTTTGAGCACCTCCTTCATAAGGTGTTGACTTTACAAATGCAAGTGAGCACAGCAGAGGCTTCAAGCACCGCAGCGAAAGAGAGGCGCTACGATTGCCAGGAAGTAGTGCTCTGGAATTAGAAATCTAGCTACCTGCGTACGAGAAGTGATAAGAAAGCTTGAGCCATGTCGACGTGCCGCCAGTGCAGATTAGGATCAGTGGCCAATGACAAAAGCTTCTCAGCCAACTCGTAATATTGCCTAAATACGGCTAATCAATGGAAGGATAGAATAAGGGGAGTACTCCAGAAGCTAACCTTGTCAGCTTCTCCTTTAATTTCACTAAATTGCCTGCGTTCGCTTCCACAACATCTGCAGATGGTATTCCATGGCTTGCATTTAACGGACAGGCTTCCTTTTGCTTAGCCCCAATGACAATGCAATGTTGACGCATTTCTCGTCTGTATCTAAAAAAAACATTGATACGACAATGAACAATTCAAGGACAGTTTACATATTCAATACGATAACTTTCGTATAGTTCAACAATGGAATTCTGCGCCTGTTCCAACAGATCTATGATGGAAGGTTTTTCACTGTGACTGGTGCCAACTAGCAGGCATCGCAAGTAGTTGTGCCTCAAAGCCGGCTCGCAACACCAGAGCATCGCGTTTATGATCAGTGAGCATATGGAGGGCTCCCTGGAAAGTTATTTGAGCCTCTACTGAAATAGAAAAGACGGAAAACGGTGTGTTCGTGAATAGAAGAACTGGTAATGGTGCTACACCTTGATTTGTTCATGCGACGAGTTGTTGGCCGGATCGAGAAGAGCAATCAACTCTCCAATGATGCTCTTATAAGCGAACGGGTAGTCTTTCAGAAGATTCACTAACCAGTTGAGCTTTCACACGATTCTATAACAATAGCTGCGTTAAAGGGAGAATATAATAAGGCTCAAAAGCAATCACGAACAGATCATGAACAATCATGAACAATTAGTGTAATTATAGAGCAGGGTTGTAGTCGGATGCAAAAAATGATGAACACTATACACATAATGAAAAGAGTTCACTTTAGGTCGAGGCAAAACTCGTACATTTGCTTTCTTATGTCTGTGTATGCTACTACGACAAACTTCGCAGAATTAAACAAAAGAGATCGTGGAACGTGGTTAAACCAGCGCCAGTGTGGGTAAGCTTTCGCTTAAAAGCGGTCTGTGCGTAAGGTCCCACAGATCACCACGATCGAATTGAAAAAAGATAACAAGAAAAAAGTATAACAACTTCAACATACTAACCTGACTATATGTACTAGTACCAATCTTGACCAACATGCGTAGAATCTCTATATGCTGCGGTTTGCACTGATATCCGCTTTGGGTAACATTTCGTTTCTATAAAGACCCTATACAGTATCTATTAAAGTAAAAACACTAAATTTTGAGCAAGAGACATTCTGGAAATCCGCTGACAGTTTGACAAGTTGGCTCTAAAGGACAGGACAAATAGGGTGGAACCTTTGCACGAAAACTCAACCATATCTAACCTCTACTCTCACTAACCTTGTGCATCAGCAGAGTATATTCCTCAGAAAGCATTTCGATGTTTCCACGATTCCCAGCAATTTGATCGCTGAGAATTGCTTTGGTTGTCCGGTAGCTCAACACTGACGTGACAAATAATTCCTAAATATGAAGTTCAACATTTTGCTTTAAACTGTTCCGGATGAAAAATTAAACCCAAAAGATCTCAAGTTTGAGACAAACAATGGAATTAGAGACTTTTTGCACTTTTCTCTTTGGTTCACGATCCTTCGTTTTTTAATGTGGTAGAGTTTTGCTGTTATGATATAGTGCAGAGTAAAATTAATCGTTACCAAAAATTTGCTTCTACGGGAAATGAAAACAAGCCAGTGCTCCGTAGTTTTTGCAGTACACCTCGAAGCTCCATGCTTGAGAATCCTAACGGAAATTGCCAAAATTCTAATGAAGCAAGATAGATTCCGATCTCAAACGATGAGTTCATCTCAAACCACTGCAATGGGTTTACACTACCGTATTTCGAATACCTCGCCGTTTTTCAATGAATTAGCATCGCTGTCTCCATAGAATTCCACCCCACAAAGTATCCAGACCGGAATGACGAAATGTTCGTGAGACTCACAGAATTCAAGCCTCGACAGGACGCCAAAGTGTTTAGGATCACAACGACTTGTTGAATTGATTTAACGTCGTCTTCTGAGTGTTCAAATAGATACTCCAGCAACTGGCGCATGCTATCAAGCACAACGTCTCGAACACTACATCCATCCAAAGTGAGAACTGAAAAAAGCCAATTATCTTCCCGACCACTTACGGCATGGCACGTGTGCACCAATGAAGAAAAAAAAATCATATACTTCGAGCATACTCATTATGCGAAATGTTAAACTAACCTGGAGCGTTGACCGGACGAGCAATGGGATGTTCAACTTCTTCAAGGGATGGCGATTCTTCCAAGCCATAGTTTGGACCTTCGAAAAACGGTATGGAAGCTGATGCACCAAGAACTGCATTACGTATCAACAGAAGATGGTGCATGACCTCTTTCCTTGAAGCATATATTTATTTATTTATTTATTCAATACAGC